CCACCCAGGCCCTCAACTTCGCCTTCAAGGATAAGTACAAGGAGATCTTCCTGGGCGGTGTGGACAAGCGAGCCCAGTTCTGGCGGTACTTCGCCGGTAACCTGGCGTCCGGGGGTGCCGCCGGCGCTACCTCCCTCTGCTTCGTCTACCCGCTTGACTTCGCCCGAACCCGCCTGGGAGCAGATGTGGGCAAAGCCAAGGCTGACCGGGAGTTCAGTGGGCTTGGTGACTGCCTGATCAAAGTATTCCGGTCGGATGGCCTCAGGGGCCTGTACCAGGGCTTCAATGTCTCTGTCCAGGGTATCATCATCTACAGAGCCGCCTACTTTGGCATCTACGACACTGCAAAGGGTAGGTTGACCCAAACGGCACTGAAAGGGAGATGCTGGGCTGCAGCAGGCCTCTAGTGCATTTCAGCAGGTGTTGGTGGCTCGCCAGCCGTTCTCATCAAAACCTCTCTCCCACAGGCATGCTCCCAGACCCAAAGAACACCCACATCATTGTCAACTGGATGATCGCTCAGACCGTCACCGCTGTTGCTGGTTTCGTATCATACCCTTTTGATACTGTCCGTCGTCGCATGATGATGCAGTCTGGCCGGAAAGGAGGTAAGTTCCTACCTCCTTGCGTAGAAAGTGTCAGGCATCCATGAATCAGCAGTTGGTGGTGGAGCTGAGGTGAAGGCAGAGTCACCTGGCTTTCACCAAGGCGTGTAGATCTCCTCACCCCTTGTAAGCTGGGGGTGTGAGAAGGGCTGCAGAGGTGGATTTCAGGCGGTGTGCACAGGTGGCTTAGTCCAGCATAGCTATAAGGTGGTGTGCACAAGTCAGGTATATGTTCAGTGGGTAGGAACAGAAGAACGTGCTCAAGGATGTTGCAAATTAGTGTCTCTGGGCCAAGAAGAGCCATCCCTGGTAGCAGGCACAGCCTGGCTGATTGTGCAATAGCATTTGGGTTGCAAGTGTTGGTGTCAAAGCAAATAGTAGCTGCCTTCTGCTTGAACTGGTCCTTCCGGTGTCTCCTGGGGGTAATGTAGCAGCAGTGTATCTCCTGGGCAGTCTTGTGCTCTTATGTGCTAATACTGGAGAAAGTCAGTCAAATAATGGATGGACTTGAGGTTATGAAGCTGGAGGATACCTTAGGCCATTTTGGACCTGGCTGTCGTGTGTCATGGGCATCCGATTCCTAACACTGTCTGTCTCCTGCAGCTGACATAATGTACACAGGCACCCTTGACTGCTGGCGGAAGATTGCTCGGGATGAGGGCTCCAAGGCGTTTTTCAAAGGTGCATGGTCAAATGTACTTCGAGGAATGGGTGGTGCTTTTGTCTTAGTCCTGTATGATGAAATCAAGAAGTACACATAAGTTGCTCTCTGTTGTGAACTGCCATGTTGTTACATGTAGTTCACCACTGTTTATGGACTTGTTTGAAAACCATCTAGTTACTGAACAGTGATGGCTGATGTTTTTACAGGTTGGCATGGGGCAGGAGCAACTGCCTGCCCTGTCTTTATCAAATTATTCTCCCTGATGGGACTCACCATGGTTTCTATTTCAGTCACTCCTGCTTAAAGAGTACAAAGAAATAAAACTCTGAAACCAGCTTTCCTCATCTCATGTTTGTTCCTGCAGCATGAGGGGGGTGGGAGTCTGCAGTGACTATAGAGAAGGAGGAAGAGGAACCACCTCCATCCTGCACGCCTTGCTACCTGCTAACTACCTCCAGCAGGTAAACACAGTGCTGGCTGCCAAGGAAGCTGTGCAGAAGTGTTTCCTGCCCAGCTGGAAGCCAGTGGTGTGGGCTGGGATGGGGAATGGCAGCTCTGAAGGACTCAGACCAGCTGATGTACCCTGCGACCCTCATGTGCTGCCTGTGTGCCACCAGTCCTACCTCAGGCCTGTCTGCTCCCCGAAGCTGATGAAATCTTGCTTTGATCCTGTGGGGATGTAGAGCTGAGCATAGCCAGCCAGCTCCTGAGGCAGGGCTGCGCTTGCCAGGCAGGGAGCCACATCCCCAGGCTCATCCCTTACCCCTACAAGTTAAGCTTGTCCCAGCCCCAAATTTTGGGGGAAGGGGGAAATTCCTTCATGCTCCTGGGGCAATTTGGGGAAGACTGCAAGACTGGGCAATGAGTGTGGCTTGGCGTATACCTGAATATCTCTGTGGGTCTGTGAGCCACCCCAGTGCTGCTGCCTGGTTTCTGACTGGGGAGCTGGGGTGGTGAGTGGATGGTCTGGTCCTCTGACCTTCAGGTGAGTGAGTCTTCTCACTGCCCCCATGCCTTTGGTCCTTTGGCTGTCCAAGCCTGCTCAAAGCAGTTGATCTCAATCACTGAAACCAATCTCAACCACTGTTGGGCAGCTAAACAAGCCCTTGTGTTGTGAAGGGTAGTAGTTTTTATTGCTGCAATCTAAGCGGAGCAGCTGGGCAGGAGTGTGCAGCACTGTCCCACCGCAGGTGGTGTCGGCGTTCTTGTGACCCTGTGTGTGCATGGCGGGAGAGTGTCCACATGCTGAGATTGCTATGCTGTCGAGCCAAAAGCCTTTGCCGGTCCTCTTCAATTGCCCCTGGGTTCCTGGTGAGATCCCCATCTGCCTGTGATCCATGGGGCAATGCCACACGTGGTGGACAGCGTGCTGAGGAGAGCAGGCAGCAGCCTGAGAGGGGGCTGCGCCACGGGGCAGCCTTACCAGGAGCCCACTCCTGCTGCACAAATGCCAGTTAATTAATGAAGGGCTCTTGGGTCTTACTGCCTCCTGCTGCTAACGTGTTCTGGATTTCAAGGGCTGTTCTGAAATGCTGCTGGTTGCTGAGCATGGGGCATCCTTTCCTTTCTTCCGCAGTGGATGTGTGATGGCTGGCCCGTTGGCACAGGGGGGTAAGTGCATCGTTTCTTCCTCCACACAGTGGTGGGTGACCGAGGCACAAAGCCAGGCTGTTGTGTTGGGCTGCAAAGGAGCCGAGTTGGGGGACATGTAAGTCCTCAGACCTACAGCATTTTGCACTGGGCTTGGGGTGCAGGGCTGGCACCGAGTGAAATGGGTTGTAGCTACCCGTGCTAGTTACTGCATTTGAGACTCATGAAACAAGCACGTGTTTCACAGATATTTTTACCTCTGGGGCATGGGAGATGAGGGGTAGAGCCCTCAATGGGATTTCTTTGCACTCTGCTGCTGGGAGCACGGGCTGGCAGACCCCTCTGGCCTGGGGCTCCCATGGGATTTAACCTCCCCCTCCCAGCAGCTCCCCAGGAGCAGCTTTATCTGGGGAAGCAGGTTGGGGGTTCAGCTGCTGCTTTTGCCTGTCACAGGAGGACATTACAGAGGGATTAAGGGCTTTGTTCTTGTGTGGAAACTGAGGCACAGGAAGGGGCCTGGTGCCAGCCAGTGGCAAGGCACTGAGACCAGGCTGTGCTGCCCTGAGATGGCAGGGTGGACTTTCCTTTTAAATACAACTCTCCCGTGGGGAGTGCTGAACATCTTGTAGTTCATGGTTCCCTCCACAGGAGCCATGCCCAGCCTGGAGTACTGGCCCTGTTGCTGGCAGGGAAAGGTGAGCAAGCACCTGTACCACTGCTTTCATCTTGCCCCCTTGCCTGGTGGCCATAAATCCCAGGCTTAGGAGCTGTTGACACAGCATGGCTGTGCTTGGGATCGTATGGAACACTTGTCAGTGGCCAGGGCAGGTGGTGAGTGGTGCGGGGTGTCTGGCCTTGCGCCTTGCCAGCTCTCTGCTACTGGGACCTCTCTGCCCGGGCTGGAGGGTGTGGGGCCAGCCTTCATCTGGAGTGCCAGGCAAGGCGAGGCAGGGGCAGCCACCCTATTGCTAGCGGGATTTGGGAGGTGCTGATGGCAGCAGAGATGGGAACAGGGCTCTGGGACTTGCCCTATGTGCGGGAGTGATGGCTGAGCTTCCCTGCTCTCTCTGCTGGTGATGGGTGCAGGGCCAGGCAGTGACTGGGAGGACTGTGTGGGGCTGTTTTTGCAGGTTATGAGGAACAAGGCAGCACTGCTACACATGGAGCCACTCTGACACAGTAATTCAGACTAGGTTCTTGTGAAGGCGCCTGGAAACTGGACTGGACTAAGCCATGAAACCCATAAAGGTAAGTCTGGCCATGCGTGGCATTATTTTTGGAATAGATCCCCTCTTCTACTTCAGTTTCACTCACTGCTTTGCTTTGGGATATCTCTGCATCCAGACAAGTTCTTACATACAATATAGTGCTCAATTGCACAAACAAATCTATCACTTGCCTATATGTACAGAGTTATAAAAACTAATGCTGGCTTTCACAGTAACACAAAATCTTGCCTTTTCTTTGGTCTGAACACTGCTGCAGATTACCCAGTTGCTGCCAGGATGTGGGAAACTCTGCAGAACGGTTAGTTTTATCTATAATAATAGACATTTAATCAAGCATTTGAACTGCCCCTGCTTCCTGTTGATACAGGCAGCTAACATCTTTTAGTTCATTTAGATCTAGAAATGAAAAACCCAACTTGATTTAAATTGTTGTGAACTAGATCTGGGCAGGGTAAGAAATACATACTTAATAATGTATTGGATCAGTGTCTCTGTGTTGGGGATGTTTCAGCTGTTGACTGCTTAACTAGAGTGTATTAAAACTATCTCAGGGACTGCCAGTGGACAAGCTACATACTCCCCTTTCTGGCTGGGTCCCTGAGTGAGTCCTGAGCCATCTAGGCAGATCTTTAATGACAGGAATGAAAACCACTGAACACGGCCTGGTCTAAAAGCCAGAAAGGAGTGCTTGCGCTGTGAACACTGCCTCTAGGCTCGAGGTGCGCAGCTGAGGCAACTGATGGCAGTTGGTAATGGCTACTTTGGACAACTCATGCTGAGAACATTTCCTTTGTGCTTCAAAAACCTACAGAGATAGCCCCAGCCCCCCCCTCCCCGGCAGCCTCTTCACAGCCCACATCAGCTGAAGCCCTGTGTTTTGGCACTCCCAGCCTTAACCCTAACTGTAAGTCGGACTTTCCCTGAGCTTCTGTCTGGGTGTCACTTGAAGCAGGACTGTACTTCATCCTTGATGACAGCTGGAGGCTGACGTCTGCATCCGAGCAGGCCTCACAGGGTTCAATACCCATTTTCAAATTTCAGTCTTTGACTCCTTCTTGGAAAAAACTTCCTAATTTAGAGACCAACCTGTGGTTATATAGTGCTTGGCAGCTCCCAGAGGGAACTGGAGGCTTTCACCTCGCTGGACTCTGCTACCATACTTGGAAAAGGTGTTCGTGTAGCAAAGTTGTACCCACTCATTGCTCCTGCCCTTCCCAAATACTACACCCCGCCTCGTAATTGCTTAACGGAAGAGCCTCTGGACACAGGCTTCTGGAGACAGGCTTCAGATTAGCAGATGATCAACAGTGAACAAGATCAGCACTGCTCAGTAACACGCACTTACACAGCCTGGCATTACATTGTCACACAACCAATGGACACATCCTGCCTGCCGGCTCTGGGGCAGAACTCACTGCCTCCCTTACACCTTATTCTCTCAAAAAAAGGAAGGATACATCCTTAGGCTAAGCAGACCCAGTTTTCCCAGTCAGGGTTATAAAGCCAGACGGAAAATCTTTATTGAGTATAAAGTCTTCCATAATAGTTGTGGGGGATAAAGCATTCTGGTCATTGTTCAGGTTATTTTATGATACTTGATAAAGTAAGAACATTCTAGGAAAAGTATTTCAGTTTAAATCCGTAACATGGTATTTAATCCCAAGTAAAGCAACAAAGACAGGGGCTACAAAGTACTGTTAATACATCACACAAGAGACACAAAATATTATTTCCTAAACAAGGTCCTTTAAACTCCCATTCTTAATGTTGCCTTTATCCAAGTCCTCAGTGGTCAGTGCACTCAAAACAGTTTTTCCTTCTCCTTCACATTCTACATCTCCAAGTACTGGTACTGGTTTGCAGAATGGGTTAGTTCACATGTGCGGTTATACTCTACTTCAAACGACTGCCCACTGTACCAGTAGCTTCCAACTGTGTATCTGTACTCATTAGTTGTGTAACAGGCAGGCAGGTGCGGTTGCAGGAGTTCAAAACAGGGTTGGATTTCATTCTCCTGTACCAGGCAGTTATCTGTTGGGACAGTGCAATTCTGTCAAGCTGCAGCGTTCCGATGTTCAACAGGGGCTGAGGGTTAGAGCTGCAGCCAGGCCTCTGACAGCCCGCCTGCTGGTCAGGGTGAGCAGCAGCACCATCCCCAGCCTGGCACCCAGTCTGCTCACACTGTGTGGGAATGGCACCTCTCTCCAGCTGCTGCACATTTTGGACACATTTAAAATAATAAACAGGCACAGAGCTTACTTTTGTAGCCATTTCTTTGTTGTACAGTTGACCTATACCTCTAATACATTTATGCAAATCTTACACATTTGAAAACTACCAAAATAAAAAGATGGGTATTTGAACTCAGAAGGCACCCAGTAAAGATTTTGCCAAAAGTAGATATTCTGGCTGGAGCAGCTTCCTCACAACACTGCATCTGTGGAGAACTGCAGCTTCAGCAAAGTCTCCAGTGCCACTGGAGTTATTAAAATTGGTACCAGGGTATCTGTTAGGAGAGTTACTCATCCTCCAAGATGCTTGCATGCACCACATTGCCCTTGAACACCGTCTGTTGCTTCTGCTCTGTTGACAGATCTGTGATAGCTCCTGGTAGCTTTCTGCTCTCTGAATACTCGGCAGATGTGCAGCATTTCACTTGAACTGGTTATCAATCAGGGTTCCTTTCATCTTGGCTTTCTTGGCTTCCAACTCAGCCTGATTAAGAAAATTAAGACAGAATGAAATAAAGTCTGTATATGTTCCCCTTCAGTGCTCCAGTGAAGTTTGATCATCTTGTCTGACCACTGGGCAAGCTTTTCACACCAGGAGCAAGACTAGCTCAAGTTCTTTCTGGCTCCCTGCTCCCTTGATGTACCTTTAAAACCATAAAAAGTCTAAAACTAACTGCACAGGAGACAATTTCATCTCTTCTGTCCTCAGGTGGAAGCTATGCATTTCCCCTCCCTCCCCTGCCACTGTTCTGCTGTCACAGCAGGTAGGATCCGCTGTGATGTTCTCGCCATTGATTCTTCAAGTGACCCTTCTGGTACGAGCTGAGCTGGCAGCTCCTCCAGCAAGGAGGAGCTTGGCCTCAGCCTGCCCTGACACCTCATGGCAGAGACCTGCTCTGCCAAACAGGCTTGACAGCACAGCGTTAGGGGGTGCTCTAGCTGGCAAAGCCATGGCCTGGTTTTCCCTTTCCTTGTTCCTTGACCAACACGGAAAGTCTCCCTGCAGAAACTCTGCTAGGTGCTCTTCAGTCAGCTCTGTAGGTAACTGCATACAATTTTAAGTTCAGGAGGGCTAGCAGAACATCTCTACAAAACCTGTAAAGGAAAAGTCATCCTCACAAAGCTACAAGTTAGCTAGGACTGTACAAAGACCTTGTATAGAACTTGGAGTCCAATCTGCAAGACAGCTTTTGTGTACAAAGCCAACAGGTCTCAGGAATTCGCACTGAATGCCAAAGAAAACACTCACCAACTCCTGTAGCCGCCTTTTGCTCATGCCTTTGCGTTCCAGCTGTTTCTCAATCACTTTTGCATTCTGTGCATAGGAGTCTGCAATCTCCCTCTGAAACACACATAGCGTCACTTTGCAACAGCAAACCCCAAAGTAACAACACCTCATCCAAACGGTGAGATGACCACTGGCTCTTATCAGTGTCCAGGACAGCTGCTGGGTTCAGATGCAACCACCTCCAAGGACAGACAAAACTCACCGCTTCAATCTCCTCCTCCTCTTCATCAATTGTGGAGACTGTGACAGAACTGAACTTGCCCATGTCTTTGGTCCGTTTGGTCATCATCACCTGGGTGAGAAGTGGAGTGTTCTGTTAAACGTTGGCAACAGCTCTGCCACCCGGGATCACTTCCCCCTCCAAAGCTTTTAAGGCTTCTCATGCAATTTGTTAGGATTACCTGAACTCTGTAGGTGGCAAAGGAGAATTATCCCCAGTGATTTCTGGGGATAGAGCTGTCATTATCAGAAGCAAACTCACTGATATATAACAGATGAGTCATATGTTGAGAATCACTGTGCAGACCTACTCACAAATGGAAACCTTCTGGTAACTGAGCCTAAATGTCAGGCACAATCTAGATTCCCAGGTTATTTTGCTTTTCTTTAGTGCTAGAACTCCAAGCTGCAGTGAACTCTAAAGGAAAACTTAAGGCAGACAAGGAGAAGACACCAAACCGAGCTATTGTTTAGGGGTCCTTTTATTTCTTTTTTCTCCCTTTTTCCCCCACCATTAAGTGATTTTACTCACCACACATTACTGAAAAGCAGAGATAACCTTTTTACTGCTCTAAAGCTGATTACCTTTTTGGGAGGTTCTTGTTTCTGAGTGTATATGTTTGTTTTCCCAAAACCCTGGCCAAATTTGACCACAGCACCGTCAACAATGAACGTCACAGGAGCATTTTTCTGTTGGTGTTGATAAAAGAGCAGCAGTCCACACCTGGAAACAGAAGCACATGTAGCTGTGAGGAAACAGACTCTGGACTAAGGCACTCAGCTCTTGGGCCCCCAGCATGTGAAGGCTGTGGACCTGTTGGAACAAGTCCAGAGGAGGCCATGAAGATGCTGTGAGGGCTGGAGCAGCTCTGCTCTGGAGCCAGGCTGAGAGAGCTGGGCTGGGTCAGCCTGGAGAAGAGAAGGTTCCTTAAGAGGAGACCTTAGAGCAGCCCCCAGTGCCTAAAGGGGCTACAGGGAACGTGGAGAGGAACTTTTTACAAGGATGTTTAGAGACAGGACAAGGGGGAACGGCTTTAAACTGAAAGAGGGTAGAGTTAGATTAGATATTGGGAAGAAACTCTTCACTATGAAGTTGGTGCTGGCACAGGGTGCCCAGAGAAGCTTTGGCTGCCCCATCCCTGGCAGTGTTCAAAGCCAGGCTGCACACAGGGGCTTGGAGCAACCTGCCCTAGTGGAAGGTGTCCCTGCCCATAGCAGAGGGTTGGAACTGCATGACCTTTAAGCTGCTTTCCAACCCAAACCAGTCTGGGATTCTATGATATGACCTGAGTGCCTCCCTAACCTGCCGCTCTATGCCTTCGGGTCTGGGGAGAGAGGAAGAGGTTGAGAGGAGCGTGCAGACAGCGGGCACGGTGCGCGGCTGAGGGACCCCAGCAGGGTGAGGGCACAAGGCCAGGCCAGGGGCGGCCCCTTCCG